CCCCAAAACCCCAAAACCCCAAAACCCCAAAACCCCTGAGACAAAGAATGATATTGAAATAAATTTAAAATAAAGCAAATGTTGAATTCAAAAGAGTCTGCTATAACTGTCATCTCCCAAGAGGCTCCACTGGAGCCTCGTGAAGCGTTCAAGTTATTCAGCAGCTTCAGTCTCTTGTGAGAGATTCTCCCATTTGTAGGTAAATCCCAGAAATGGAAGTATTTGCTTCTGTTGCTGACTAAAAATGGGGAGTCACTTTGGAAGAAGTATGAATTTGCTTTTACTCAACTGCAGAGGTAAGTTTTTATGTCTATTGGGTAGGAAGACAAAATGGACAGATCATCCAGAAGAGCTTGAAGAGATTTTTCAGGATGTCTACGGTTACAAGCCAGTTATCAATCGTGACTTTATGCTCAGAATTTGTGCAGATGATGATATGGACCTTGAGTTCCTTGAGAAAGCGAAAGATTACAAATTTCCTAATTTTCGGTAGGACTTTATCTCAATCATAGGTCACTAGATATTGAGAACCTAGGATCTTGAGACAACTTGGGAATAATTTCAAAGTTCTTATGCAATTCTTATCCGAATTATATAAATGAACTGAAATTAAGCTGATTCCCTGAAAATAAAGACATCACTGATGTTCTGTTAGTTTGTAAAGTCATTATATAGGAGCAAGGACTTAATCATGAAGATCTTCTCTCAGGTTCAAAATGTTGGATGCAACGGATTTAAGAGTTTTATTGAGCTCAATGATTTCACACTTGGTGACGAGAGCTTCAGACTTATACTAACCTCTTCTAAACAAGCCGGAGTTGTTAGGCTGAACAATTGAAGAATTTTACTACCAAAGTGTAATATAGACAAAAAGTTTAATTTCTCATTAGACAAAGTGGATTTGTCTAATTCTTGGTTTGAAAATGAAGATGATAGAGACTTGACACCTAACTCTCTTCTATCCAATATGGACCACAAACTATCCTTAGGGATGAAATTTGAGGACGTTGCTTACAGAACACTCTGAGCATCAGATGAAGTATTCTGGTAACCATATATATAAAAATTACAAGATTTCAACACTCTCAGTGCCAACTGGGGTTTTGGGGTTTTGGGGTTTTGGGGTTTTGGGG